TATGAAATGTAGTCCTTTTAAGGGGTGAAATATAATCCTGAACAGAGGCTCTATTTACCACTTAAGCCCTATTTTATGGTTTAAGTGCTGACCTTGCACTGACCCTCAGTACTGGGCTGAATTTCACCCTACAGCAAAAATCTGCTGGCTGGAGCAGTGGATTAAAGAAATTGGGGCTAGACTTTTTACTATTTGCAAGACAATGAAAACAGGCTTATTTTAGACAAAAATGTTTCTGATTTATGAGAATTTTAGTGCAAAAAGGGGCTATTTTGGAGAAAGTCTCGAGATTAGACTTTCAGTTATATTTTTGGCAAGAGAGCAAGGAAGCCATTTCATTAACTTTTCACTGGAAGTTATATATGGAGGACATTTGTGTACACAGCTGGGCAGCATAAAACAGGAGGGCTTTGTGTAAAAATATCCTGAAATGAAATTTCATTTCTGTGTGACTTGGATCTGCGTTCCTGGGCTGCCGTGGCCAGTTTGGGATGAAACCATGGGAGGGCAGTGTGAGGCCCTCAAAGATTATTATTTTTTCCCTTGCTTTTGCAATGGATGCAGAAATAGTGAACAGACCAATGCGGTCCCTGTGCAAAATCAGTGTCACCTTTTATAGCTTTATGTCCGTCAGATAAGCTCCTGCCTGCTCCCACATTTCCATATGGCTGTAATCACCCAGTGATACCAAGAGATTTGTTTGTGAGGAGCTCCAAAAGCCACATGCTGGGGCTGGTGTGAATTTAGCTCTGCTTTGACCTCCCTCCTTCCCCACCAGATGGCTGCTAATCTGGCACTAAATCTGCCATGGTGGAAGGAGCCACTGGCCCATCTGGCTGTGTCAGGCAAGGTGGGACCATCCCAGTGAGCTCCTGGGAGTGCTGTTCATCCTTGGGTACCGCCTTTCTAAAGGTGTGTCTTGTGTAGCTTCCCGATTTTACGGGACCCTCTAATGACCATGTTGGGTTAGGAGCCCAGAGGTGGTTCTTGTTTGAGGTGTGATGATCTGCTTGCTGCTCATCGAATCACAGAACCCTAGAATGGCTTGGAATGGAAGGGATCTCTAAGGTCATCCAGTTTCATCCCCTGCTGTGGGCAGGGACACATTTCACTATCCCAGGTTGCTCCAAGCTCCATCCAACCTGGCCTAGGACACTTCCAGGGAAGGGGCAGCCACAGCTCCTCTGGGCACCCTGTGTCAAGGCCTCACCACCCTCACGGAGAAGAATTTCTTCCTAACATCTAATTTAAATACCTCCTTTTTATTTTGTTTTATTTTTTCAATTTTGAAACACCTCCCACTTTTCCTGTCACTCTCTCTCCATGGAATCTTGTGAGTGCATGAAGTAGGTGGGGATGCAAGGCCTTGCAGAGGACATTTCTCAAATATTATCTTCAAGTTACATTGGCTGTTCTTTATTTATACATGTCATATAATGACACTGTCATTTATGTTATTTTATGCATGTCAGGGCAAAATGTGCATAAGTGTGAATAGCACATGCACTGAGGATTCCTGCTCCAGTTTTCCATGGAAGACAACTTTTGAAGTACTTCTTTGCTAATGAGCCCATATTTCACTCTGCCCTGATGTTTTGTAAGCACTGATATGGGGATCTCTGAATCTCCATCAAAAACCAACTCCAGCAACTCCCCTTTTCTTCCCATGGGAGGAAGAAAGCACCAATAACTGTCTCCCCTCCTCCACAAAATAGGAGTCATTGTCTGGTTTTGCTGCTGTATCCCAGGTTTTCCTTGGGTTGGTTCACATCAGTGTTCAGGTCAGACAAGCAAAGCTGCCTTTTCTCCAAGCTCATTCATACATTGAATTCTGGTTGATTTGCATGTGATGGTCTGATGCATACCCTCCAGATGCAGGGTTTGTGTGTTCTTTAGAAATAAATAGTCCTGAAGAATATTCCATATTACCAGAAAGCATTTCTGGTGTATACAGTCCTTGCCCTGAAACATCTTGGAATAGGACTGTAAACATTTCACCATCCTTGCTCTCACTTTCAGCTCTGGGAGTCTTTCATGTTATCCACGTCTAGACTTCAGTGCTAAGTGCCTCAAGAGATAGAGATGTTTTGGAACTTTTTAAAGTCTAAGCTAATCTAGAAAACACATTTAACACTCTTCTTCCCTGCTTACATTTTGATTACTATTTCATTATGGTCCTACATTCTGCAGGTGCTGTAGAGGACCCCTGACCAAAAAAAGGGTTGTAGTGCAAGGAAAAAAAGAAAAGGAAAGGATAAATTTGTCATTATCCTTTAAAAAAATTACAGACCAAGGCCATGATTATGTCTGTCCCAGACTGTGCTGACTTGTGCAACATTTTTGTCCCTGTGTCATCTTTAACTGCCATCAGTTTCCTGGTGCATCCGTGGCAAGGGTGTGAGGGCACATCAGTGAGTAAAAATGACTTATTTAGAGGCAGAGCCACAAGCTGAACTGTTTATACTCTTCCTGCTGATAAGATACAATTCTAGATGCCCAGCCTACTCTTTTACTGTAATACTTTTGACAAGGCAGGTTTGGTTTCTGTTTTGCTTTGAGAAAGTTCTCTCTCAGAATGAGGCTTTGATTTCTGCTCTTAGAGGGTTCACGACAGAAGTAAATTATCTTCTTCCAAGAAAAAGTAGAAGATAAATAACTGGCAGCCAGATCAAAATCCCCCTGCCCTGATTAAACAGTTTCTAGTGCTGAAGGACAACAAAAATTTATAGATACCTTATTTTGCTGTTGACCCACTGTACAACCAGTCCATGAGCTTTTACTTTGCAAAGCATTAGGAAAAACTGAAGTCTAGGAAAGACACTAAAACCACAGCCTAGTTGTTTATTTCTGATACTATGTGGTTCATGATTGTTTCTTTTAGAGGGAACAAATAATCAATACAAAACCATGAATAAAAATAACTTTTTCTTTAACACTGGATGCTAAAAGAACATATAGTCTTCTTACTGTGCCTGATGGAAACAGTACAAGTCTGTTCTCCACAATTCTTTGTTTATTGGAATGCCTGAAATCTATACATGAGGTATTTTTAAAACATTTAAACATAGAAGATAAGCTTCTGCTCCAGACAATTTGTTTCACCATATTCTAAAATCCCAGTGCATACCACAGAAGTGCTTAAAGCAAAGAAACAACAACAAATTTTTTAAAAACAAACTTCAATTTAAGATAAAATAATTTCCATATTCTTATTTCAAGGAAAATTTGCTTTCCTCATGAGACACATTCAGTTATTGACTCAGCTGCTGTAGGAGATCTTCAAGGCCCAATTCTGATCGGTGGCACTTTGGAAAGGAGAAGTGCCAATAGTCAACATTTGGCTCTTTCTGAGAGATTGTAGCTCCTCCAAGCACAGAACAATCTGAACATTGCTAATGATCCTGAAACTCTGCATGAAGAACTGGAGGAATAAAACCTTGTGAGGTAGCCTAGCTAAGTGACATGAGCTCAGGTAGCGTGCAGCTGTGAGGGATGTACCTGGCTCCTAGAGGAGGTCTGGACCAGAGGATGAATTTGGGACTCAGGGCCCTGCCATCAGTCTTACCCTGCTCAGAGATGTGGTAAAATCCCTTGGACTTTTATATCCCTTTGTAGAGTCGCAGATCTCTTACGTTTTACTCTCTAGTGATGCAATAAATACTCAATTCAGTTACATGTTTGCTGTTTGCCCACGCAGCTTTATCCCTCTCTGGGACACTCAGACTAGAAAGTTTCTGCCTGCTGTGTTGTTGTTGAAGTTAAGTGACCCCTCGCAAGCAGAGGACTTTGGGTGTCCAGTCAAGGACTGGAGGTTGGGCAGTGAGCCCTGCTGCTCAGTGGGTTCTGCTCCAGTGGCAGCTTTTCATTCTGTGCAAATGCTGCAAAAACATGGAAGGCTCCAATGCAGGGACATTAATTCAAGCCTGCTTTGCTGCAAACTCCTTTGCAACTAAAAGGTCTAACATACAGCTTAATGACATGAGCTTAAAATAGCGATGCACATCTTACAGATGACGTAGCAGTGGCTATAAATGTGCCTTTTGCCCAATACTCCCATAGTTGGCATTTTCAAAATATGAGGTAACTTGTTGAGTCTTCCCAAAATAATTTTTTTTAGGATTAGAATACAACTGTTCTCATTAAAAAGCATAATTTGCAGCCAGCCATGGACATTTAATTTCTATCTTGTGCATCTTGAAAGCTTACTCTTGGAAATTTTATTTAATTCAAAGCCTACTTGTCTGTAATAAATGCAATAAAGGGATTCTGCTATGACCAACAAATTTGCATAAAGATGTAATAAGCTATGTTCTAACTTGGCAAATCAAATTTTTTCAGCAAGAAATGTATCCAAAGAAGACTCCTTCTTTATGGGTACAAACAATAAGGAAATATTTCAATTTTTTTTTTAAATAGCTTAAAAAAATAGAATATAGTATTTTAAATACTGGTGTTTGTTGCAAATTATCTACTTAATGCCATTTCTTTTTCAACCTTTTAAACCTGAACTGTCCCCATACTTATCTTTTATGACTTGCCAACATTTGAAGTTCTATGTTTCTGTACATCCAAAGCGCTGACAACTGATGTTTCTTTATTCTAAGATAAGACACTGCCAAATCTGAAGATTCAGGCTTGATTTTTACTCATGTTTCAGAAAATAATTATTAATAATTATTAATAGTATTAATCAAATTCAGTTACTAAAAACTTTTCATCAGAATAAGATGATCAGCCATACTTATAGGTAAGGTCAAATAAAACTTTCCCAGGAATGCAAGGACATTAGAAAAATGCAGGTTACTCTGAAATTTGATAATTTAGGCCTTTCTGTACCAAAAGAAATTGTACGTGCATATTGCACAGAAGTCAAGCTATGGAATTTTTATGGTAGAAATTTCAGGCCACATTCAAGCCTATAGGCTATTTTCTGCTTTTTTTTTAAGAAAAACAGAAATGTCTGAACACAAAACAGTAACTAATAACTCAAAGTAACTTACCTTTTTTCAGCCAAGAAATATTCTGCTTTTCATGTTCAAAACTTTCAGCTGCTTTGATTTTTACCTTGTCTGTCTTGTCCTCTGACATCTGTGGGAGAGAAAAGAATTTGGGGATGTCAAGTTCTCTTAAAGAAAGTTTGACAGAGAAAGATGTTCTCTGTTTAGGTTCCTGCCATAATAAATTGTGCATACTTACACAGACACTTTTTTTCCCTGCAGATTATTGATACTACATAATATCTGAGCCGTTGAATTTATGTTCTGTACCTAAATGCTTTATCAATATTACATGGTTGCTGTTTGCAGAGGGAGATGCTTTTGTAATGTAACTATAAATTACATTATGAAATAAATTATAAGCTCAAAGCATGGTGGTAATAGATAAACATATAACACATAGAATAGGTACGGTCAGGCTGAGGAGGAAGCATCCAGGCTGCCTGTTTATTGTGGCTCAAAGTTGCTGTAAAGCCTGCTGTCAGAGAGCTATAATTATACAAATAGTAATAAATATTTATAAAGGCAACTTGAACAAAGTGTACCCCCCACACCCAAAAAATAAATTGGTGCAAGCTGCAGTAAAGATTTTTTTTTACTGTAACACCAAGGATGCCGAAAAAGTCCCGGTACCTGAGGGCATTACACAGCCCCTGCGCTGTGGCTTGTGCTAGGAATAAGATCAGGCAGCCTGGGCTTCTGCTGCCTGCATTCAGTGGCAATGGAAGGCAGTGATGTCGAGCATTTCTGTTTTTACCTGTGTCTCCCACCTGGGCACAGAGCAGCAGGGTTCAGGCGCCGAGGAGAGGAGCTGTTGGCCGGGTCCCTCGCTGGCTGTTGGTGTCCAGCATTCCCACGCGCGGCGAAGCGAAAGGATGAGCAGTGCACTCTGTGCCTGCCTGCTGTGTGGTGCCAGATTTGTCTTGCTGCCAGCATCAGCCAACTTACTGCTGAGGCTTTGGGGTTTTTTTCTCCCCCCACCCCCCCCTTTGTTGTTTGCATGCACTTCTAGAGCTGGGGAGGGAAGGAGGAGGGTAATGAGTATCCCAGCACTAGTGGAGTGATTTAAAAGAAAAAAAAAAAAAAAAATCAGGAGCTTTTCAAGTAGAAAAAAATTGGTTTGGTAATGTTATTACTGCAGTTCATAACCCAGTGAATCTGTGAGAGGAGGAAGAAAATAGAAAAAGAACCGGGAAATTAATAGCAACAAATCAGATAAATGTGTCATGGTTTTGGCTAAATATAAGTTAAGATACAGAAGGATATAGAAATTAGACACTAAATATCTATTTACAGCTGTCACTTTGGCAAAGGAATGGTCTGAGCCTGTGGGGAGCTGAGTGTTGTGACCCTCCCCAGCTCAGCCCTTCCCTCCAGTGCCATGGGGCTGAGTGGGCTTGGCAGCAGCACAAGGGGGCAGGGGACCACCCGGGTGGGCTATGGCACACCTTGAAGGCATACAAAGTTCAGTTTCTTAGTTGGTTTTAAAAATTCTCTTGCTATAGTCACCATCAATATTGCTCTACTGGTAGTAGGAGTAGGGTGAAGCCTAAAGAGAAAACGATTTTAGGGTTCTCAGGCATTTTGTCTTTTCATATAGGACAAAAAAATGCCACTCTGCTTCCCAGAACTGAATTATTGAAAGGTTTTGTTGTGGAGTATGTGCAGAATTACTCATTTATCATACTTTTTAAGTGATATTTACAAAATTTCAAGCAACATTTGTCACCAGATACTATAATCCAGGATTCCAGTGCTTAAGTGTGGCCAATAAATAATAACATATTCCCTTTGTTATGACAATTATCTTCCTCTATTCTCCCATCACATGTCATTCTTGCTAGAAAAAAAAATGTTTTCTTGCTTTTTTTTTTTAAATCTCCTGTGCCAACCTGACTGAGATTCTTCTGCCATCTTTAGCTAATTGTGAACTGCATGCTAAGTGCCTACTTACATCTCCGAATTGCAATGATTAGTCTTGCATGGTTTGAAAACCTATTTTAAGCAGGGTACTTCAGAAAGGATTGCAACCACAGTGGGGGGAAACTCTAGGGGTAGTATTTTAAGATCTTTGTTCATTCTCCTTGGATGCAGCTTTGAGAATTATGTATTTTCAATTGCAGTTCCTTGTTCTCCCAGAAACACTGATTTTTCCATTCTATTGCATCTACAAAGCTTTAAATTTACCAGTGGTGCTGGTTCTTCAGCTGGATTTGCCAGGCTGTGGAGCTCCTGGTGGGTCCTAATAAAATAATCTCAGAGCAGTCTGAACCTCTCTGATTGTAGCTTGGATCTGGTGCTACTCTGCATTTCAGAAGCCACTGTTTAAAATGAAGATATGGGTGGTTTCCAAACCAAACTAGAGTGAAAGTTCTCTAGTTCATCTGGCACATCCTCACTGTTTTTCTAGGGGTTTTGACAAAATCCCAATGCCTTTCCCAAAGAAAGTAAAACAGATGAGGAGAAAGCCCTTCTAAAACCACAGACCTGAAAACTGCTGTGCCTTGAGATAACAGCCCCTGAAGTCTTGTCCTTCGGGGATTTTGTCACTTAAACTCTCTTTGGATCCAGGCTTGAGCCTGGATTGAGCCTCCAGGAATGTGAGCAGCCAGTGGTGCTTGAAGAGAGCCCATTGCTGAATGTGTCCCCCAAACCTTGACAAATACCCATTTGTCAACACCGAGCAAACACAGACCTGACTTTCCATCAGGTTTTATACCTTTGTATTTGAGCATTAACAAAGGGAATGCAGATTAGTGCTCTGAGATGTTCTCTCCACCTGCTGTCCTGAGATGCCCTGCAGGACCCCCAAGTGTTGGCAGCTTGCAAACCTGCAGAAGTTACTGAGCATTAAATAACCCACCAGTGAGTTCAGAAAACATTAAATAACTTTCTTACTCTTTGTATTTTCCATTACTGATATTCAATTAATGGTCCTTATGTTTTCAGTCCAGGAATATTAAATGTAACCTTTCATGATCTTGATCAGCTCCAGTTTTCTACTGAGACATGTTCCTGTGTGCTATTTTTTGCTTCATTTAATTAAGTTATTTTGGATAAATGCATCAATATTTCTGTTTCCTAATCAATCTTAAAGTAGTTAGAGGAAAGACAACCTTGCCATACATCCTCAGTAATGCCAGGCTTTGCAAAGGAAGAAAAAAACATTATGAGAGAAGGTTATTAAAATATTGAGTAAACTTGTTTCTGTTAAAGCTGTAATTGAATTTTTAAAGCCCTGGCCCATTTTAAACACTGAACTTTAGTTTATGGTTTGATAATTCATTTCACTTTCATTTTTATAGGTTTTATTTTATAGCTACTAAATATCTATGGGCCGTCCCATGTTCATTTTCCTTCCTGGTTGTGAAATAGGGTATTTAAATGGAGGATTAAAAATAAAAATCATAATGCCAAAATAGATGTGGTATCAATCAGTTCCCAGATAAATGTACTGTATCAAGTGCTTGTTGAGATTCAAGAATATATTTTTCTGGTCTGCTCAACTGGGTCTGCAGTCAAGTCTTTGCAGAGTTGAAGAATAGGAAACTTTAGTTGGTTGTAATAACCATCAAAGCAGAGGAAAAATTTCATTGCTGGTTCTAGCAAGCATCAAAACTGTTAAAATTTCCTTAATATTAAGGTCAGGCGTCCAGTACTGGATCCTGTCCTGAGTACAAGGGAGGATGTGTAGCCATAGTAAAGAGAGTTTTTGGTTACATCTATGAGTACGGCATTTAAAATATTTAATTTCACTACCTAAAATTACTTTTTACTGGAGGATATGAACTGTGTGCCTAAAAGTTGAAGTTTCCAGTGTGAATTTTACACAGCTCAGCATTAAATTAAGCAGTTACTTCTTTCTTGCACAATCCAGGTAAAATACAGCCACTTGTCCACTGGCAAGTGGCGCTCTGTAGCTTTGGAATACCCCACACTGCAGTAAATGTGGTTTATTAAAAAAAAAAAAAAGGTATGATAAAACTATGTCTTTGCTCCATTTGCACCCTGGGGTGATCATTTCCAATAATAAATTGAGTATAATGTGATGTGCCCTGTCAAAGTTAAGGAATCTCTTCTTGATCACGCATCTGTAGGTAGAATATTAAGTTGTGGGAACACGATCTACAGCCAAATTATCCTGGTGATTTCATGTAAAATGCATGGTTTTTTAGCCGAACCATCATGTCCTGTGAATGCTTCAAATGCAAAACAGGCTGTTTAGAGAGACTACCTCAAACTGGCACTGACAAATTATCTATATGCTGCAGAGACCCAGAGCAGTACAAAGATAAGATTTTACTCCTCATCACTCTGCCTTGTAGAGACTCCAGATAATTTTTCAGTAATTCTGTGTCCTGCAAGAGGAGACACAGGGCTTTATTTCACTTTTCCACTCGGTGCCACTGTAGGTCAGCGAAAGTCTGGGAATGTGTTTAGGCTGGAGGATGGAATAAAACCTTGAAAAGAGTTGCAAAGGCAGGTTAGTATAGGGGTGACTCATGGTATGGAGAAAGCCCAAAGAAGTGAAATTAAAAATGGTCCATATTTCCACTGAGCAGTAAAGAAAAGAGAGAGACTGTACATCTTTTGTTGTCCAGGAGGGCAGGGAGGTTACTTGGTGTCGGTGTGAAAAAGTGACATTTGGGACACTGCTAGTTAAAGAGGATGAAGCTCCAGTGTGAAATAAATTTGAGGATGAGTGTGGAGGTGGGATGGGGAAGGCAGAGAGACCCTGGCAGTAGCCCTGGAGCCATGAAAGCCCTGTCCCAGCTGGGAGAGGGTCTCTGAAGGCAGCAGTGGCCTGGGCCATTTTCTCTCCTACCAGTCAAAATTCAAGCCCAGAGTTTAAAAAGGGTTTGTACTAACACAGAAGCTATGTGTGCCTCTGCACATCCTGGCCTGTAGCAGGAAATCCTCCCTTGCTCTGTTGTGTTTTGCCCATCATTGGCCATGTTCTCTGTGACCTCTGTGTGTACTCTCTTTACAGATCCTTCTGCTTTGCCCTGTCATATGGGTGGGAAGTATCTTAAACCCAAGAGGTTTTCTAAACGTGGGTGTATAGTGTGTTACAGGGTGATTTGACATTTTAGAGGCTCGGTTTGGTGCATTTGGAAAGGCAGGTGAAACAGGCCCCTCGTGTCCCTTGACCTGGAGGGATCCATCCCTGCTACAGGAGACTTCTGGAAAAATAACTGGAAGCTTCTTGGGCATCACAGCAAAAATTGGGACAGACTTGTTATGATAAGATGGAAAATAAGCTGAATAATTGCTGCTGCATCTCAGAATGTACTGGTGTACGTGAGACTGGAATGTGACCATCTCATGGAGGTGTAGCCTTTGGCAGATGGGTGAAACCAACAGAAGCTACAGGACTTTTATGGGAGTGTACAGGTCAAAAATGAAGGTAATTCATTGAAACAATTTTTTACTGCTTCTAGGAGCTAGATATCTTGGATTATTGCAATGCTGCTAGCTGAATATTTTTACAATCACCTCCTTGTTTAGCTCAATGCAGGATTGTCTTGCCAATGCTCAGACAAGCTGTCCTTGAAGTCCCATGAAGATATTCAGGCACATGCCCTTTCCAGGTAGTCCAGTGCTTTTCAATCCTGGTAATAAATACATGAATTTCTCATGATGTCTATTCTAACTCTTCCTTCACTGTAGATTTAACTCATAACTCTTACCCTTTCTGAAATGCTCATGCAAAGCTGAGTTTCCTGTTCCTTTGCAACAATCCCTGCAGCAGATGAAGGAACATTATCACACGTTCCCTCAGTTTTTATCAATACTTATATTTAAATCACATTCTTCAGCCTGTGGTCGTGACTTTTGCTGGTGTCACCTTTCTGGTGATGAGCTGTTGTCCAGAAGTGGTCATGTTCCTCCTAAGGCCTTGCCCACATGGGATAGAGCAGTGAGGTTACTGGCATGTTTTACAAGCTTTCTTCCAGTTTGCACATCCCAGAGTGATGTTTGTCTTTTTCATGACAGCCTGAAATTGTTGTCTTCTATTTTGTTTATAATCCATGCTGTTCCCCAGATTCTGTTCTGCAGCACAGC